ATTTTACAAAATGTTGTTTGAATCAGATCTTGTACGATATTTAAAATTTCTTTTTAAAGTTGCAGCCTTTAGAATTATCTTCATCAATAAATAACTGTTATTTCCTACTACCATTTTCCCCTAAAACTTTATCAACTGTATTTTAAGAACCCTTCCCATGAAGGTAGAATACTCACCAATCTGAAAATACCCAATTATTTTAGTCTAAAATTTTTATTTTTAAAATGTTTTTATTAGTCCATGTTTGCAGTACATGCACTTTACAATTATCTTGGGGAGTGGGTCCATGTCCTACACAATACAGCTTGGTTCTTTGTTTCTAATCTCCATCCTCCTCACTCCTACCCCCTTTCCTCCACGTCCAAATTCCCTTTCCCCATTTTCATAATGACCTAAATGAATGTAAACATATTAAGTCATAAACAAGAGGGAAGATTCATAATGTCAACACAGTTATTTGACCATACACTATGTTCTACAACTAAGGATAAGCACTTTACACAGTAATGGCATGTGTATAGGTAATGTTTGTTCGTACTTTACCCACAAAGTAACCAAAGAACTGAGAAGTCATGCTAACCCTCAAGTTTGCAGAGAGCTTCTGGGAAAAATCCAGGCTCCAAGGATTAAAACTGTCTTCCCAGAATAAGTAACTCAGATCTTGCTAAGTCATTTAAACTATTTTGTATTTTTTTTTTTGATACCAGGGATCAAACTCGGGTCCTTGAGCTTGCACAGCAGGCAGCGAAACCATTGAGCTAAATCCCTGGCCCACTATTTTGTATTTTAAAGAAGAATTATGTTTGTTGTGTCTCTGTTTGAAGATATACAGTGAGAAAGATGTCACTAATCACTGAAAGGATCGTCTTTCTCTATTTTTATTCATTTTGGAGGAGGTTAAGAAGTACACTTTGTCATGAATCACAGAAATGCCTTTGATTTCTTGATATTTGTACCCCAAGTTCACCTCACCACTTAATATTTTTGAAAACATGTCTAGTTTTAAACAACTCATAATAACTATAGTTAGGCCCCTGCTTTTGCCTAAATTACATTTCTAACAAATGTTTATGGGCTTTGGAAGCTTAACAGTTTGCTGGAAGAGAAAGAAGAGTCAATCCAGAATAGTAACTATGAAATCACAAAAACTTCCATGGAGACTCACTCTCAGAGGAGACCCCTCTCTCAGTTGATGGACAAAATGTTCCCCCTGCTCTAAGGCAGGGAGGGAAAAGTGAGA